AGTTTACCTTACGTTTAATGGCACAAGTTGGACACATTTATTGGGCTGTGATTCACATTTAGAACTTGACACATACTGAATATCAGTGATATATCACCTGACCTTATTAAAAACAGTGACTTCCTTATTGGAAGAAACGAAAAGTGCACCCAGAGTTCACAGAAATGTACAGCTAGGTACCGAGCTAGAGTAAATGAGAAAAGAAGTTGAAGTTTGTAGATCTAAATTCTAGTCTTGGATTTGTCCCCGCTCTCCTCAGTTTTGTATTTCAAAATGTGAATAACAAGCAAATTCCCTCCCTAGGGCATTGCATTGACTTGCCACGAGGGCAAAACAAAACAAAACAAAACAAACAACAACAGCAACAACAAAACAGAAGAAAACAAAAGAATGCACGGACTAAATGCAAAATCAGAGAGCCAAGAAGAGATGGAGGTAAGGATTCCCATTAGATGCTTAATGCTCATCTCAGGTGGCCTTCGTCTGGGTGCTTCAGGGATGGGGCAAACACATAGTGTTTGGATTTGGCCCATTTCATTGTTGAGAGCTTTATCATTATAAAAGTCTCTCTTAAATTGGCCTCTGAAACTTTCAACCCCATTGGCCTAGTTTCATCTCTGGGTTTGGGTACCTTGGCCCCTGGCATGGCCTGGTGGCTTCCAGGTGCGGCAGGGCTGGTGGAAAGCCTGGCTAGTCTTCTCTGGTAATGAGCAGTCCTTGCTATCATTTTCTTTGAGTGTCATGATGGGAGAATGTTTGGGAAACACTGCCCTGGGGGACGATCTCGAAGGTGACCACCCTCCCTAGAATCAGAAGTAATGCTCGGGCAGCTGAGCATGCAGTGTCTGATCACTCTTAGAATTCATAGAGGATGTCTTGGTCAGCTCCGACCCGATGCCTGTTTGCTTTTGTTTTTCCGGTCGTGCTTTTGCATTTTGTGTGCTCTGTCCTGTACTTACAAAAGTAGGTTTGAGAGTAAGAATAGAATTTTAGATATGTCTCTGTTAAATTTTGTATTCTCAGCTTTGGCCTCTGGTTCTATCCTAATTGGGTATTTTGGTTCCTGATTTGCTCACTTGGTGAATTCTCAGTCCATGTTAACTCCAGGTTCCCCTCAGGTGGGAAGCTTGCTGGCCTTGCCCTCATGTGGTGGGAACCTGATCTGCACCTGCCAGCTCCTTCTCAACCTTTAGCATGGCTTCGCGATCCTCTCCTCTCCTGCATTCGTGGCCTCCAGGAATAGGACCAGGATCCACACCCACACTGGTTCTTTCTGCCCATGCTCACTTGATAAATTTTCAGCTTCAGATTCCAGTTTTGCTTTCTAATCTTGAATTTGTTATTTTGGGAGACATGTACTCCTTCCAACCTCTCCTCCCTCTTCTACTCCTGATTCGCCACAACTGGAGGATGACCATGACCTTGTTGACACCCAGCCTGGCTGTCACTTTCCTGGGAGGGACCAAGCATGGCGCCTGAGGTATTCCCTTGGAGACCACACTTCACATGGATCACACTTGTCATGGGGTATGAGTATCTGTGAAAGTATCCAACTCTACTCCGTTCATAAGAAAGAAGTTTGCAAATGCTTTTGTGAACTGATTCATTAAGTCCGCAGTGTCCTGCCTAATCTCCTCATCTACAGCCCATCAAACAAATGGAAGACTGAATGAGTTTCACCAGACTTGGCTTGCTCTTAGTCAGTTCATGCTTTCTCTCAGCGAGCACGGCTTCACTCAGTGCTAAAAGACTATTGCTGTAATCATTCACCTAGAACCTTCCCCGTATACTAATCTGTGTTGGCAAAATTCTGTTAAGCCCAGTAATGGATGTGGAGGCTCTCTGGAGGTATCGAATATTAAGGGGTGGTATTCTCCTAGGTTTGGTTGGAAGCTGGATGACACAATGTGGCTTAGCGGTCTGGAGAGTTATGAAGATGATTCGATTTGTTTGTGTCATTTTCTGGAACAGGAGTGGAATCAGCAGGCAAGTATCGAGCCAGATTTTCCCAAGGCCTGACCACAAAGGTTATGAGGTGGTCATTGTGCATAGTGTGTCAGTTTTTCCAGTTGAAAGGAAGAGAGGGTAACCTAACGGAACGTGTCACTGGAAGGCATTTCCGAGATCATTCGAGCCAATGCTCTTTGAACTTTACCGTGCACATGAGTGACCTGGGAAATGGTAGTGAAACGCAGGTTCTGATTCAGCAGTTCTGGCCTAGGGCCTGAGGTTCTGCATTTCTAACCAGCTCCCTGGTCATACTCGAGGCCTGTGGACACGCTTTGTGCCACAAGGATTTAGATTATACGCTATTTATTTTTCAGATGTGGAAACTGCGGTCCAGAGAGGTGAAGTGTTTCCTCTAAAGTCACATGAATGAAGTTAGAGCAGACTTTTTCACCCAGGTCTCCTGTGCCCAGGTCACTGTTTCTTTAATTACAAAATTGCTGGACCTAGCAAAACAGAGGCTCAAAATCCTTTCTTAGAATTTGCAGGGAGAGCCTAGGTTAGAGGCCATGCTTGCACACATGTACCCATACACTCATGCACACGCGTGTTGCATATGCTTCTTCATGTTCTCTTTTTCGTGGTATGTAGGAAACACGTGGATTATAACCACATTAAAGATATTCTTACATGCAAGTCGATTCTGAATGTACAAACTGTTCTGTAAAAATATTCCAGGAAAATATATGAATTATTTCTGACCTCTTAAGTGTAAATACAGACATTCTGAAGTTCTGCAAAGACCATGATGATAAAATTGTGTCCTAATAACATCTTCTCATAGTTTTAATGTTAACTCTGGGCTTGGCCCAGTGAATTCTGTGCCGCAGCATTCCTAAACGACTCCAGAGTTTTGGAGATTTTCCATTAACTTCTGGCATTGAATTTTGTTGTCAACTATGACTCTTTTCCCTGACCTCTGTGGGGAAGCTAAGCAACTGATAAATCCCAGGCAGGAGGGTGTGTGTGAGTGTGCATGTGCATGTGTGTGAGTTTGTGAGTGTGTGTTCACACATGTTAACTAAACAGTGCAGATTCCTAACATTTTTCTCCTCCCTGAGAAGCAGGAAGAAAGAAGGGAGAAGAAGTCATCTGGAGTGCAAAAGAGGGTCAGAAAAATCCTTGAAATGAAATCTCTCCTCTCCGCTAGGGGTTTGATAAAGATAATTAGCTAAATCAATTAGAAAAAGATGGGGTGACAAACTCCTATTTTGGGAGGCCATTACCTACGGTGAGTTAAGCCCATTAGAGTTATGCCCACAGGTTGCCTGGGGAGGGGAGAGAGAGAGGGGAGAAGGAAGCAAGGGAGGAGGAGGGAGAGGAGGCAGGGGAGAGGAAGGAGGAGCAGGGAGCAGGGAAGAGAGGGAGCCAGAACTATGATCAGCTGCTTGGGCTCAGGAAAAGGTCAGCACCCTTTCCCAAGGGGGCCCTCTCTGGCTTGCCAGCTGCAGCTGCTCTCTACTGTGGGAGCCAGTGGGAGTCAGGACACTTGGTTGCAGCTAATTAAAAACCCAACTTGATTGACTCGGCTTAAAAACACCGAAAAGGATATATTGGCTCTCGTCATCGAATATTCCAGTGGTAATATGGATTGAGTCAGTTTCTAGCACTTTCTCTGTAGTTCTCTGGAAACCGTCCCATGTGTGTGGGCTTCGTCCTCAAGCTTGCTTCCCTCCTTGTTTTGAGAAGGGTAGCAATGGCAGCTTCTTGGGATGGGGTGTGTGCGTGTGTCTCTGCACTGCTGAACAGAGCACTAAGCTTTACTCTGGTTAGACCACCCCTGAGCCCTTGCTCTGGCCGGAGGACTCCGTGTGCTGCCCGGCTTTGCCCTGGCTGTGCCCATCCTTGATCTCTTTGGAAGGAAGGGTAGAATGACCTTGGCTGGCTCAGACCAGCAGGGCCAATCTTGGAGTTGGGGCTGTCTCTGTTATTATTACAGGGAGGAGACATGGGTTCAGGCAGGGCGAATCACCCAGGACGCAGTTGGGGTATGCTGGAGTGAAAGGTGGTGAAGGCTGGAAGTAAGGGGAGAGGGACAGAGAAGAGGAGGGAGAGTTGTATCTGTGGGCAATATCACATTCAAGAGGATAAGGGGAGACAGTGGCAGGATGGTGGCTGCAGAGTGTGTGCAAGCAAAGTTTTGAGCAGTGTCTTCTAAGATCAATGGGTGCCCACCCAGATTGGCGCAAAGCCCTTTTTTTTTATGGGACAGTAAGAATAAGGCCGAAAGGTGTGTTGTGCTCAGCTGAGGAAGGAACTAGAATGCCAGAATAGGAGGTTTGGCCATTTTCCTCCCATGCTGCAGATTTTTGGGTAGCACCATGATGAGCTTGGACCCCGTGTCATGTACAGAAAATGAATCTGAATGCAGGACACAGGAGGGGCCATAATAGAGAAATAAAGGGTAATTGGACAACACCACCTCTCCTGGATGGGTCAGGCTGCCACATGTGGGAGCCAGAGGCTCTGGCTGCAGCCCCCTTCTCCCCCAATCTCCCTGCCCTGCCACACCCCGAGCACCATCCTCAGCTGAGGGGTGATAAGCAGGTCTCCCCACCTCTGGGATGCTGAGAAGAGAGCCTTGCAGTGTTCCCAGGGTGCACGGCAAGGGTGGTGGGCACCTCATAAGGAGACCTTGGGTCTGAAACATGGAAAGAACAGAATAAAGATCCTGTAGCATCACATCTGTGCTCTTTTAAGAAGGGTTGGGAGGCTGGCAGAAAAGGGAGGGGGTGTGAGACTACATATACTGTTGATGGGATGCTATGACAGGCCGGACATGTCAGCAAGCCTTGTCCAGGTTTAACACAGAGTCGTATGAGGGGAGAGACATAGCCTTGTGAAACGCTAGAAGTGAACATGCAGTGAGAGTGCTGGTATTTCATAAGGGTTTGGCACGTTTTCTGAATGAGTCTGGCTGGCTGCCCGACTCTGAGTTTCCTGCTCATAGTTCCCTGCATGTGTCACTGCTGAGGATTAAAGCCCTCACAGGCTCTGACACAGGCATCACTCAGAGTCCACTTTCTTCTTTCTTTTAACCTCAGCAGTTGTGTCTTCTGACAAGATGTGAGGCGTCACTCTTGTGCTCAGTAAACCAGACCCCGGGCTCTTTGGAAAGAAAAAAAGGGAATTGGCCAGTCTACCCAGGGCTGACTTCAAAACGCACTTTTGTTTTTAATAACCGATGTCAGCTCAGCTGGCTTCGTTCTGGGGAGAAACCCTACGCTAACCTGCAGTCACAGTGACCGTCTCTTGCCGGGCCAGCCGGGCCTGCATGACTTGGTGACCAAGAAAGGAAACGGTAAGATGATGAACTACACTTCAGGTTTTTGTTCCTGTATTTTTCTCTCCTTTTCTTTCTGTTCACTTAGACATGGATGAAATGTTTAGGAGGGACAAATGGAATCTGATGAAATGATAGTGTTACTCTGTTAAAACAAGATTTGAAGATTTTCTTGAAGCTATGTGGTTCTGTAGGCACATTTAACCTTAAGATGTGTCTACGAGTCATATTAAAAAATAACCTGTGATTATGTATGTTTTATTCTTTGGAAGATTAACCATGCATTATATGGGAAATATATTTTATCATGAGGTACTACTTACGAGCCATAAATAGTTGTGACTTTTGGTAAATAATGAGGTTGAAGTAAAGGGTATTGCAAATAGTCTGTTTAAAATGGTTGCTGATGTTAGAAAAAAGACTTATTTGATTACTTTCCATTTAGCTTCTACAATTTTAGCAGAGCATAACCTGGCCCAGTGTTTGACTGAAGTCACTGCATGATTATTAACAGACATCCATTAGTTGCATTTAAAATCATAATGTATAATATTAGCAAGACTTGTACCTGCTTCCTTCAATAAGGGCTTAAACTGTCACCTTAAAAGCATGAGCATGTTTTTTTCAGAGACTTTACAAATGTTACGCCTTCAGCTATAAGGAAGACTGGGCACTCTCATAGGGGTGAAAAACATTGTCCTGTATTTCTTATTGGACGCCCTTGACACCCATAATTTCTATCAGTACTGTTGTTGTGGGAAAAAATAAGAAAATGGGACAGAATCTGGCAGATTCAAGAAAGGAAATAAGAAAGTGAAAAGGAGAACAAAATGAGTTTCACCTCTTAATTCAATTCAACTCAAAACTCCTTGCTCTGATGCAAAATGCTAGTATGTACTGTGACTGTAGGAAAAGCTGGATGGTGGGGGAGGATGTTATTCTGGAAGATGCAGTTAGTGACCAGCTGGTTCGGGAAATCACAGTATTCACTGCCAGGGGATCATGCTGTGTGTTTTATAGGCGGAGTGTGTTTACTCTAAATGTGTGGATCTGTTAGGAAAAAAAAAAAGAGAAACAGTGCTGCTCAGAAGGAGCGGAACACTTCTTGAGATGAATTTTCCCTTCCTATTAGTGGTGATGAATTTAAAATATACTAATGGCCTTTCTCAAATCCACATGCTAATCTTTTAACTCACAAACCATTTGGGTGCCTGCCTGTGGGCTTACTTAGGAGAGAAACTTGACAGGTATGGTCAAAGATGGGCTAAGACCCACTTTTGAAATAGATCTTTAAAAATGTACACAAACAGCACATATTCACTATCGAAAAATAAAACCAAAAGGGAATGCATATAGACAAGTAAAAAAGGTGAAAAATAAAAACCTAGCGTTGTGAGACAAACACTGTTAACATTTTGGTGGGTATATATTTTCTCTGAACGCACTTATATTTTGAAAAAAAAAAAATTCTTGTGGTACATGATGTTTTGTTACTTGCTTTCCCTTTCAGCAATATATTGTAAACACCTTGTCATGTTAATGAATTTCTTCCTACAAAAGCTTTTAAATCACATTATACATTTAATTTATTAAATCGTGTTGATAAACATTTGATTTTTTCCCTTTATTATTGACATTATGAAGACTAACATCTTTGTAGAGAAGTCTTTGGATTGCTTCTGGATTATTTCTATGAGCTTGATCCCCAGAGCTTCTGTGGGGTCAAAAGACATGAGTATTTTTGAAGCTCAGGATCCCTGCTACTAAATTAATGTAGGAAAATGCTATTAACTTGTGTCCCCTCCAACCCTGTATGAATACCGTTTTCCCACATTTTCACCAAAATTGGGTTTTATAATTTTTTAAAAATGTTCTAATCTGTTAAACTGGAAAAGGCTATTTTGTTGTCTTAACTTGCTTTAAAGAAACCCTTTGTAAAACCTCTGGCTTCCTTTTCTGTTCCTTTGGGTTCCGTTTCTTGCCTTTTTGGTTACTTGTTATCAAAGCGAGTGTCTGTTACAGTAACTTATGCCAACCTGATTTCTGAGCCCTTTGACCTCATTTGCTGTCACTCAGTAAGTCAGATGCTTTTGCTCTGTTTTTTTGTTTTTACCGTTTGAACAACCTAGGGCAAACCTCAGTATTTGTGATTTTATCTCCTTTTCACCTATAAAATTTAGAGATAAGGATCAACTTTTCATGCCCTCGCATGAACTGGGAACAGGAAGAGATGAGATAGAGGAAAGTTCTCTGAATAGGAAAAAGTAAAAATACAAAATGTTACTATTACTATGGTGTTACTATTTCTATTCTTACTTTATAAAATATACATGTTGGGAGAGGTTCATGCTGAAATTTTGACAATGTCTTATAATTCTAAATTTGAAAAGTTGTGAGTATATTACAATGTATTTCTTGGCTCTCAGATTCAGCAGTGTTTAATGTGTTCTAGCAGCATATGGACATACTTAGGCTAAAAATAGTTTATATTAGTTGCTCTTTTTTTTTTTCTCGCTTGCATATAGGGCAATATGCGATTCTTCCCATATTGCATCGTCTTTGTCCACTTGCTTTGCTCTGACCTCCAATGAGAACTCCTCAAAGGCAAGGACTGTTAATGTGTATGTGTTTCTCTCTCCAGGGCCTGGTTTGAGGTCTGACACCCTGTGGAGGCTCAAAAGAAGGGACCTAGGAACATTTTTAACCTAACTCTGCAGAGACAGCTATATCTCAAAAAAGAATTACAGAAGATTAAAAAAATGGAGCTTTTCTGGAAGCAAATTGATTATTTTGTTTGTTTAGTTTAGTTTGGGTTGGTTTCTATTTCTTTCGTGTAAACTTCTAAAGCTCTTCATGGAGACTAAGTAAATGAATACAAGCCAAGGGTAGAACCAGGAAAATGTAGAGCACAGCTTTCATAAGGAGAAAGCTTACCTGGACTTGGTGTGAGCACAAAAAGCTTTATAGGGAATACGAACTTTCACTCTAACCCTCAGCTCAGCGTTAAATCAGAACCAAAGTGACGTTTAGGAATGGTTTGAACTTGGATAGTGAATAAATAATGATGATGGCTATTACTTAATAGAACACTTACTACGTGTGAGACCTGGTTCTAAGTGCCTCAGAGATAAGGTGGCCATTATTATCATCTTATTTTGCAGATTAAAGACAATGATCTGCCTAGTCACACCAGTAGTTGGTGCGCAGTGGGGATTCGTGATTCCCATTGGTGAGGGTAGGACTGACTGATCTTTAGAGACTGCAGTGGGGATTTGTGATTCAGACAATCTTACTCTTGAGTCCGCACATTGGTGAGGGTAGGACTGACTGATCTTTAGAGACAACGACACATGGGTTTTGGACGGATGGTGACATTTGTGCTGCTCACCTGGGTGTATGGTCACCATGTATCGTGCTCCCACTAAAGAATACGCACTCTCCTGGGTTCTTTACATCCATCATTTCTAATCTTTTTCACAAACTTGCCAGATCAGTGTTATTATTCTAGCTCTAGGATCTAAACAAACTGAGACTTGGAGAAGCTCAGTACATGGCCCAGAGGTGCCAGCTGGGGATAAAAGAACCACCAATCTACGTCAAGTCAGTTTAGCTTCCTCGCCCATGTGCCACACTGGTCCGGACAACTGGCTGCTGATGTTCTTCTATCCAAAGTTGCTAAGAGTTCAGTTCCGTTGCATTTGGAGGTGTTGAGCCTGGAAGCTCAGCCATGTCCTTTCTTTTCTCGGGAGTTCGAGGGGGACACTGAGCCTCAGTCTTTCTGAACGTACATGGGACAGTGTGAAGTGGCACCTGGAGTTGATTGTCAGACCAGATGTTCCCTGGCAAGACCATCCGAGTTATCACACTGACTCACACACAATAAGTGTTTACAATACGCAGGGACACTTTCCTCTTACTTCCTATCCAGTAAGCCCCAACTCTGCACCAAAGAAGCCCTAAGAATGCCTCGAGGAGACCGGGAGGGCACGGCAAGTGCTAGCTCGGGTGTGGGGACACAACTCTGTTTTCTCTTGGGCAATTTATCTACCTTCTCTTTGCTTAGTTAGTCCAGTTATAAAATAGAGGTAAGAATCTAATTTAAAAAGGCATTTTAATTATTTTTCTGTTAAACTTTTCAGTAAGATTTTGGAATTAAAAATTTTTCTTCTAAATAGACAGTACATGGTTTATTTACTTTTGAATCGATGACACGTAGTTTAAAAGGCCATTTGGTAAAGATACCAAATGGTATCCTTTTCTCAGCTATCTCTTT